TAGGGCAAGGGCCTCATGATACTGGTTTTGGCAGTGAATTCTTGGATAAGACACCAGATAAATAGGTGGTTAGGTGTGGAAGTGTACACATGTAGTCCCAACATTTGGGAGGCTGAGGCAGAAGGATTGCCATGAGTTCAAAGCCAACCTGAACTATGTAGTGAGACCCTTTCTCAAAAAAAACAAACTCAAGGGTTATTTAGCTCAGTGGTTCCGCAGCCTGCCTCACAAGCACAAGGTCCCAAGTTCTATCCCTGGTACCAAAACCAAAAATCTCACAAGTAAAAAAAAACTCAAAACCAGATGGAGACTTTAAAAGTAATAGATAAATTGGGGTAAAAAAATATAAACATTTGTACATGAAAAGACATTGTCAACAGATTTGAAAAAAGCATCTTATAGAATGGGAGAAAATATTTCCAAATGATGTCTCTAATAAAGGATTGATTTCTAGAGTATCTTGAGAACTAAGACTCAACAATTTAAAAAATCAGTTCAAAAATGAGCAAAGGGAATAGAACAGACATTTCTCCAAAGATTCACAAATGGCCAATAAGCATATTGAAGAATGGTCAACATTACTAATCATTAGGGAAATGCAAGTCAAAACTACTGTACAGTGAAGTGCTGGCATATAGCTCAGTGGTGGAGTGCTGCTATGCACAGAGTCCTGAGTTCAGTCCATGACACTGCAAAACAAAATGTACAGTGTAATACTACATTGCTTCTGTCAGAATGGGTGCTATCAAAAAAAAGGCCCAGAAAATTAACAAATGTTGGTGAGGATTTGGAGCAATTGAAACCCTTGTGAATTGTGGAAGGAATGTAAAAATTGTACAACCACTGTGAAAAACAGTATGGTGGTCCCCCCCCCAAAAAAAATTACCACATAATCCAGTAATTCTTTGGGACACGTACCCAAAGAATTGAAGGCAGAATTTGAGATGTTTGTACGCCTGTGCTCATTGCAACATTATTCACAACAGTTAAAATATAGAAGCAACCCAAGTATCCAACAATAGATCGAGACTCCTGGATATAGTATTTGGTTTTTTGAGGTATACAGATATATAATGTCTTATTTGATCATCGATCTCCTTCTGGATTTCCACTTCCTTACCAAGTTTTCATTTCTTCAGTAATTTGTTTACTGTTAATAGTGATCTGTGGAAACCCTTCATAACTTAAATTTTCTAATCACCTGATGGATGGATGATCATAGGTATCTTTGCAGTGATTTAAAATACAGCAATGAGGGCCAAGGGTTTAGCTCAGTGGTGCCACCGCCTACCTCACAAGTGCAAGGTCCTGAGTTTGATCCCCGGTACCAAAACAAACAATACAGCACTGAGGGCTGGGGATGTAGCTCAGTGGCACAGCGCCTGACTGGCAATCACAAGGCCTGAGTTCAATTCCCAGTACCCAAATAATAATAAAATAACATACAGCCCTGAGAGCTGGGGATGGTGGTGTACACCTGTGATCCCAGCACTCAGGAGGCTGATGCAAGCTTCACCAAGAGTTTGAAGCCATCCTGGGCTACATAGTGAGTTCAAGGCTAACCTGCACTACAAAGCGAGACCCTGTCTAAAAAAACCAAATAAGGGGCCAGGGATTTAGCTCAGTGGTTTTGCTGCCTGCTGCACAAGCGCAAGGACCCGAGTTTGATCCCCAGTACCAAAAAAAAAAAAGTAACACAAGATTTCAAAAAAAAACCAAAACCAAATAAGTAAATAAAATACAGCACTGATTGTGTCTAACCTAATAAATTTATCAGAAATTTCACCTGACAACTTTCTGTTCCTTTTGTTTTGTTTTTTTAGATAGGATCTCACTAAGTTGCTAATGCCCAGACTGGGGCCGGGGAATTTAGTTCAGTGGTTCCACCACCTGCCTTGTAAGCGCAAGGTCCCAAGTTCAATCCCCAGTACCAAAAAAAAGAAAAAACTGCCCAGACTGGGCTCAAACTCATAATCTCCCTCCCTCAGCCCTCTTAGAGAGCTGGGATTATAAGCATGTGCCAATACACCTGGCTATGATCAAAGTTTTGAAGTACAGATTTTTTGTTTGTTTCTTGACTTACTAGTGATTGTCAAAATGCAGTGAATAAAACATTGATTACAATAATCCATTATCAGTATATGAACTTTTGCTAAGATAGTTCTTTTCACCCTAAAGTAGAGTGTTACTTTTACCATTTCTGTTTGTCTCAGAAAGAAGAAAATTATCATATAAATTTACATGACATGTTGGTTGTGAGGATAGACCCTGGAGCAAAACCACTTGGGTTCAAATGCCAGTTCCATTAATTACTAGCCTTGTAACCTTGGACAAGTTACTAAAATGTGCAATGTTAGTTAACAGTGTCTGATAGGTAATGTTTTCAGTAACAATTAGCCGTTACTGTGACTATCATTCTTTAAATGCTGTGGTATATAATAGAATTCTGCTTTCTCTGGTAGCATTGGAAAGATGGAACTTTGCTTTTGTTTTGTACTACATTCTTTTTTTCTTTTTTTTTGTTTTCAGTACTGGGGATCGAACTCAGGACCTTGCGCTTGCGAGGCAGGTGCGGTGCCACTGAGCTAAATCCCTGGCCCTGTACTACATTCTTGAAGGAAAGCATTCGCTTTTATGTTTAATTTTTTAAAATTGTAGTTATAGATAACAAAGCTTATCATTATAACCACTTTTTAAAGTATGTTTAATGCAGTTTAATGGCATTAAGTGTATTCACAGTGTAGAACCATTACCATTATCTGCTTTCAGAACTTTTTCATCATGCCAAACCAAAACTACATACTATTAAGCAGTCATTCCTTCCTTTCCTTACTCCCTGACAACCACTGATCTGCTTTGTACTTCTATGGATTTGTCTAATCTGTATATTTCATATAAATGAATTATGCAATATGTAGACATATATACGACTTCTTTCACATAGCATATTCTTAAGGTTTATCCATTCTGTTTATGTTTTAGTACTTCAGTCCCATTTTATAGCTAAATAGTTCATGAATTTGCCACATTTTGTTTATTCATTTGTTGATAGACATTTGAGTTATTTCTGCCTTTTAACTATTAATGAATAGAGCTGCTATCAGTATTCATTTACACACTTTTGTGCACGGTCCCAAGTTTGATCCCGGGTACCAAAAAAAAAAATTAATCACACTTGTTTGAACACCTCATCAGTTCTTTTGGCTATATACCTAGAAATGAAACTATTGGATTATATGGTTATTCTGTGTATAATTTATTGAGAAACTGCCATACTTTTCCATAGTAGCTGCAATATTTGGCATTTTCACCAGCAATATACAAGTGTTCCAATTTCTCTTCATCCTTGACAGCACTTACTATTTTCCATTTTTAATATTATGGCCATCTCAGTGAGTGTGAAGTAGCTTTCTCATAGCAGTTTTGATTTGGCATTCACTTTTTCCCTTATGAAGAGTAAATTTATTTAGTTGATTGCCTTACATTCTCATTTATATTTTCAGTATGCCTTGCCTGTCTGCTTTACTTTTACCATATTCTTGTTATCTCTTGTCTCTTTCTAGACTATTAACTTTTTGAATGCAGGGGACTAGGCCCTAATACTACCTGATATAAGCGGCAAGACACATACATAGTAGATATCTATGTTTAGCAGGCCACATACATAGTAGTTGTCCTCTTTCTCCTTTCTGTGATCATGTTTTGAATAATTTAGCTGTACTGCCTCTCCATAGCTTCTCTTACATTATTACCTCTGCTTGGAATTGTCCCTGTTCAATATTCTTTTATATGAATTCTGTTTATCCTTCAACTTCTTTTCCTAATACCTTTTCTGATCAGTATGGTAAAAATACATAATTTTTCTTCTGTTTTTACTACTGTTTAATTCAGCATAGTACATTTTACTTCATTGGCTAAATCCTCACAGTGGCCCACAGAGTGACTTTAACTCTCAAAATGTATTCAGATTGAGGGCCAGGAATTTAGCTCAGTGGCGCCATGCCTGCCTTGCAAGTGCAAGGTTCTGAGTTTGATCCCCAGTACCAGGGGGTAAAATATATGCAGATTGGGAAGTTATATAATTTGCCTAAGTAGTACTGGTGCTGATGTTTAAACTTAGTTCTTTTTGGCTCCAAAATTAGTTTTTTTCTGCCTAGTACTTTCAGTTTAACTCTTGGGGAATTCTACATTTTGTTGTAGTTGTCATAGTTCATGGAGAATTTCATGAAGACTTTTGTGTCTGTTGTGGTGTCTTTATCACATTGAAAATATTTGTGGATGAATAATTATTAGTAGGTTTGGGAGAAAAAATTCTGTTAAACTGAAGAATGGAAAAATTCTTCAGTACTGGTACCTACTAACTACTAGTGGGTTCTTTATTCAGATTGGAAGAGTAGATGAGGTCAGTGTTCAAGCCTGCATCAACACAGTACAAATCAGAGGGTTTGAGCATTGGCTAGAGTTAGACTTCTTGGGTTTTTGCCCTGCTTTTCTTACAAGATACCTGACATCTGTTTTATCATTTATGAAATGGATATTAACACTTAGCATTTAGAATTGTCAGGATTAAGTGAGATATTGAATAAAAGACTCAAACTGGGCATGGTGGCACATGCCTATAATTCCAGCACTCGGGAGGCTGACGAAGGAGTATCACCTTGAGTTTGAGGCCAGCCTAGACTACATAATGAGTTCAAGGATGGCCTGAACTACATAGCGAGACCCTGTCTCAAAAAACAAACCCCAAAAGATTCAACACCTGACAGTATAGTAAATATGCCATAAGGAGTGATTATTTTAATCTTACCTGTTGTCTTCCCATTCTCTGTGATTTGATTGTTAATCATCTCAAGTGAGAATTTTCTACTTGTCTGTTATTGAATATCCTAAATAAGAAAGGATAGTTTGTTTTTGTTTCCTTTTGTTTGTGTTTTATATTCTTAATATATTTAAGGGTACCAGTGGCTCAGGAGAAATGATCAGTGCATCTTTCATGGCAGGAAGTCGTCGGATGGTGGATGTCATGGATGTGAATACACAGAAAGGCATTGAAATGACCATGGCTCAGTGGACACGCTACTATGAGACTCCAGAGGAAGAGCGAGAAAAACTCTATAATGTCATCAGCCTAGAGTTTAGCCACACCAGGCTGGAGAACATGGTACAGAGGCCTTCAACGGTTAGTCTAATCATTTTCTCCATGTTGTTATCAGTAGAAGGGTTTTTTTTAACTAGGAGAACTTATAACTTTGCATATACCAAGATCAAGATGAATGAAAAAGACTATTTGAGGGCCAAGGATTTAGCTCAGTGGCGCCGAGCCTGCCTTGCAAGCACAAGGTCCTGAGTTCGATCCCTGGTACCAAAAAAAAAAAGGCTATTTGATAGAATTAACTTCTTTATTTAGAAGGTTCTTCATTTTCCAAAATAACTTAATTTTATATAGGACAAGATCATTCCTATTTGTATTACCAGTAACTTCATTTAGAAACTTTGAACTTTGTATGTGATAGAAAGGAATCTTAAAATTCACTCATAATTGCAGATAGGAAGTTTACTTAAGAAATTTCTGTGTTCTTTTTTTGGGGGGGACTGGGGATCGAACTTGGGTCCTTGCACTTGCACAGCAGGTGGCGAAACCACTGAGCTAAATTCCCGGCCCCAAGAAATTTCTGTTTATAGATTAACACTTACTGGAAAGCTCAGGGAAAAAGTGGTTTAGAGCCAGGTGTGCATTTTAAGAGATGGTTGATGTCGAGTGTGTTGGCACATGCAAACAGAGAGAGAGAGAGAGAGAGAGAGAGAGAAAGAGAGGAGAGAGGTGTCTAGATCCTACTAGTAATAATAAATTGGCAACCTATCTTAAAAGAATAAATTAGCTTTTGATCTTTAGCTCACCAGAAGGCAGATTTTCATTTAACCCATCTCTTGGCTCAAAGTATTTGGAATGTACTTAGTCATTTGTGGAACTTTTCTTCTGTTTTCATTTAATTCCTGACTCAGAAATCATGTGAAGCCATGTATAGTGGCACACACTTGTAGTCTCAGCTACTCAGGAGAAAGAGGCAGGAAGATCACTTGCGCCCAGGAGTTTGAGGCCAGTCTATCTACATTGAAATTAATTATACTCTTTGACTTTCAAAATTGAAATGTGATAATTGTTTTAAGATACCTCTATATATGCATATATTACTAATAAGTTACATTAATACTACAGCTAATATGTTTTATGTGTAGACAAAGGGAAATGTTCTCATTATTTCACTTTTCTGAAGAAACTGTAATTTGTTCTCCTTGTTACTGAAGATGATATAACTAAAAGCAGGATTTCTCATTAAGAGAAGCTTCTTTTCACCCCAGAATGACAAGAATCCTTTCTTTCTTTCTTTTTTTTTTTTTTCATACTGGGGATCAAACTCCAGGACCTTGCACTTGTGAGGCGGGCACGTTACCACTGAGCTAAATCCCCAGCCGGACAAGAATCCTTGAATTCTGTGTTAGCTATCATTGTTTTCATCATGTGATAATATAGGGACATAGTGGTTAGAATTTAACTATTTTTTCCTCCCACTACTAGGGATCAAACCCAGGACCTTATGCATGCTAAACAAACACTGTACCACTGAGCTATCTATCTCTTGTCTGTCTACCTAGCACCTCCCACCCCCATTGAACTCAGGACCTTGTGCTTGTAAGGCAGGCACAGCACCACTGAGCTACATCTCTGGCTTGTTTTTATTTTTTGAGACAGGGTCTCACTATGTAGTCCAGGATAATCTTGAACTCATGACAGCCCTCCTACCTCAGGGTCCCAAGTGCTGGGATTATAGGCATGCACCATCATGCCTATCTTACCTAGCCTTCTTAATAGACAAACATGGTCCACTTCATAAATAAAGATTTTTGTTTTTGTTTTTTTAGTACTGGGGATTGAACTCGGGACCTTGCACTTGTGAGACAGATGGTGGCACCACTGAGCTAAATCCCCAGCCCCAAATAAAGATTTTTGTAAGAGAGGGAATGGGAAAATTACAGTAATATTATTTATAACTGTATTTCTTTAATATTTCTAGAATTTTAACTTAAAATGATTATAGCTATAAATACAAAACCTGACCTGGGTTGTACTTTTCTATCATTAAAATTTAGAAATATAACACTTCTTTGTAGTATTCTAAACTTGTTTATTTTGTCCCTTTTGTTTCTTTTTGTTGTTAAAGTTGGTTGGTTGGCTGGTTGGTTTTAAGATGGTCTCACTATGTTTTCTCACACTTGCCTTAAACTCACTATACTCTGCTGGGTAGCCTCTTGAGTATCTGGGTTTATAGGCGAGTACCACCATGTTAAAAAATGCAACATCATTTTATAAAAATTAGAAAGTTAGGGCCGGGGATTTAGCTCAGTGGTTTCACTGCCTGCTGTGCAAGCTCAAGGACCTGAGTTCGATCCCCGGTACCAAAAAAAACAAAACAAAACAAAAAAACAAAACAAAACAAATTAGAAAGTTACTACACTATTAAATGAAGGACTAGAACCTATGAAAAGACTCAGAAATGGAAAATTATCTAGAGGGCAGAGGTCATAGTACACCAGTATCTTTCAGGAACCTAAAACATGAACCAAAAAAATTGAGTAACAAGCAACTTGTGATCTTGCTATGTAAGGAATAGTAGGCTTTTTCTATTGATAAATTTCCCTGTAGTGTAGCCCTTCATTTATCTTGCTCTTTTCCAATATATCTCAATAACGCTATTTTAAAAACCCATTTTATTGAGGTCAAGTTGACAAAAAGTATATCTTAAGTTTATTTTTCAGTGAGTTTTGATAAATTTATTTGCTTATGGAAGTACCAGCACAATCAATCAATATATAGAACATTTTCTATGGTATCTCCTAAACCCAAAGCTAGATAATTTTTTTTTTTTTTGCACTGTTGGGGATCAAACCTAGGGCATTGAGCATACTGGGCAACCAGTCTTCTACTGAGCTACATCCCCAGCCCTGCATAATCTCTTATTCCCTATGATCTTAGCTACCTTCAAAGTTTATTAGTTCATCAAATTCCTACACTAACCAGTGTACTAGGTGCTGGAAGTATAGCAGGAAGCAGGATCATTCTTGTCCTTTAAGAATGCTTTAGAGGGCCGGGGATTTACCTCAGTGGTTTTGCCACCTGCTGCGCAAGCGCAAGGACCCGAGTTCAATCCTCGGTACAAAAAAAAAAAAAAAAAAAAGAATGCTTTAGAGACCATAGGGAGGAAAAGATAAGAAAATAGTCATTTGTATAAACCACATACAGTAAGTGTTTTACAGGGGCTGGAGGTGTAGTCCAGTAATAGAGCACTTACTAGCATGCACAAGGCTCTGGGTTTGATCCAAGCACTGCGGAAAAAAAGGGAGGGGGGCAAGCTCAGAATATTGTGGAAGCACACAGAAAGGACCAACCTTACCTAAACTGGAAGAGAATTAGGGAAAGAACTTGAGAGTAAGTGATCCCTAAGCTCCATATAAAGAAAATAATAAGGTAAAGAGTGAGGGGCCAGGGATTTAGCTCCGTGGTTCCGACACCTGCCTTGAAAGCACAAGGTTCTTTTCCTTTTTTTTTTTTCTTTTCTCATAGTTTTTCCTTTCCCTCTTTTCCTTTCCCCTTCCCCTCCCTTCACTCCTTCGTCTTTGGACCTTTTTTCCTATTTCAAATGATCAGTTATTCATTTTAATCATTTTAACCCTTGTTTACACTATCAGTTTCTCACACTAGAGAAACTACTCAGTATTTACACGTGTGTCCTATTTATTTCACTTAAGAGTATGGCCTCAATATGCATCCATTTAGCTATAAATGACTCTAGTTTTTCGTTCTTTATGGCTGAGTAGTACTCCATTTTATTAAAAAAACACATTTTCTTCATCCAGTTTCCAGTTGATGGGCACTTGGGCTGCTTCCAAGCTTTAGCTGTTTCAAACTGCGCAAGCACAAGGTTCTGAGTTCAATCCCTGGTACCAAAAACAAAGAGAGAGAGTGAGACGAGAATTGCAGGCAGAAGGAATAGCATGTAAAAGTAGCTGTAGAAAGGTAAGGTGGGCAATTTAATGCCCACTGTAAGAGATAACATAAAGTTAAGTTCTCTGGTAAGAAAAAAATGATCATTTGCCATTGTCATTCCAGTAGTAACTGAGGGGGTGATTTTTTTAGAAATGGCAACAAATGGACCAGGGATATAGCTTAATGAATGATAAGAGCCCTGGAATGAAGCTCTGTTGCGCACTCCGCCCCCCAAGCAACAGATACAACATACAGTATGTTTATTTGGTGATAGGAAGATTAGTTAATTTAAACTGTGAGTTATTCTTGCACACCATATAAATAGATCAAGTCATAAATATTGTACTTTTTGCCAGTATGACCCTAATTTTCCTATAGGATAGGTTGAAACTGGTGATGATTATCCTTACCGGAGACTGCTCTCTTATAGACCCAATTATTTAGCCAAGGGGTCTTCAAAGGCTAAGCATTAACCTAAAAGGAAAGTATAAGCATGTTTCCATAAATTCTCACTATAGTCAAAGATACTTTAATAATACCAAAGAAAGGATGGAAAAAATGACAGATTTGCTGCAGGTGAGAAATTCTGCTTTCTCTGAATAAACACTTGATTAAAAAAAAAGGTGAAACATTCCAACCCCACCCCACACCCCATCTAGAAATGAGAGCTTATAGCGTGCTGAACAAGTAATGACAATACAAGGAGGTGGGAGATGCTGGCCACTAAGAAATGGAAGGGCCAGGAATTTAGCTCAGTGGTGCTGCTCCTGCCTTGCAAGTGCATGGTCCTGAGTTTGATCTCCAGTACTGGGAAAAAAAAAAAAAAGAAGAAGAAACAGAAAGTAGGTTTTGTTTGAAGAAAAAAAAAGGCATCTGTAGGTGCTTGGTTAAATCTGCTGACTCCCTAGTAGAGTTCCCATAGTTTCCCCTCATCTTGCTTATTTCTTCCATGTCATTGATGACCCTTTTTAAATACTCCCACCAGCAATATCTGGATTTTCATGGGATATCTGCCTCCTGTCATTATCCACAGTTTTTGTTTATTTAGATATATACTATAAGGAAAACATGATCAAATGTATAATTGTTATAAAGCTTACCAAATACATAATTTTTTACAACCATAAGTGAAATATTTGCAGTATCAGCACTGTATTGAATTCATGGTGGCTTGACTATAATGCTTTTGCTACTTAGGACTGTTTCTTGGAGTTGGGTGCTTGAGTGCAGGCATTTGAAGGTACAGGTCATGTCACATTTCTCTGTGAAGTGTTAAAATAAGTTGATATTGCCTGGGATTTAGCTCCGTGGTTCTGCTGCCTGCCCCGCAAGCGCAAGGACCCAAGTTCGATCCCCAGTACCAAAAAAAAAAGTTCATATTGCTTTCATACCTCATTTCTTTCAGCAAGCATTATTTACAACAGGTTCCTAAATTCTGATAACATTATTTCAAGTATTTTAACATAATTTAATCTTAAGCATATCCCTTTGAGATAATTATCTTAGCTCTGTAGATAAGTTCTATGGCCTCACATGATTTTGAAAATATGACAGACCTGGAGTTTTTTCTTTTGGAGACAGGGTTTTGCTACATAGCTCAGGCTGACCTTGAACTCACAGCGATCCTCTTGCCTCAGCCTTCCAAGTGCTAGGATTATAGGCGTGCACTACCATGCCTGGCTAGACCTGGAGCTTTTGATTCCTAACCTATTAGTGTCTATGGCATATTCTTCATACAAGGCTGCAAATCCATATTGGATTTCTTTTCTTTCTTTTTCCTCCTTCCCTCCCTCCCTCCATCCCTCCTTTCCTTCCTTTCTTCCTCCCTTTTCCTCTCCTTCCTCTCTTAACTTTTGGTATCTTAGCTTTTCAAACAATAATGTATTTTTCAGTGAGTTTTTCAGGTACCTTCCACACCATACCTTTTATGGGTCAAAAACACAAAGCAAATTAGACCAGTATTGACGTAGAAGAGAATTCTTGGTTGGACACTGCTGTGTGTCAGTGATTTAGTGACTTAATTTTGATGAGTGCTGTCTTTATAGTCAGGTTGATGGAACTATTCGTCTTTATTCTCATCTACTAATTATGTCCAGAAGGCCGGGGATGTAGCTTAGTGGCGCCACACCTGCCTGGCAAGTGCAAGGTCTTGAATTTGATCCCTGGTACCAGAAAAAAAAAAATTATATCTAGAATGTTTACTCTTAAGGTTCACCAACAGATATTTTTAATTTATTTATAAAAGACATTGTCTTTTGGTATGTATTTAAAGGAATTCTATTTTTCTTGAATTTAAAATTCTCTTTAACCCTAACCCTTCCCTTAGAACTTAAATGTTTCCTCCTTTTTAAAGGTGGATTTCATTGACTGGGTAGACAACATGTGGCCAAGGCATTTGAAGGAAAGTCAGACTGAATCAACAAATGCCATCTTGGAAATGCAGTACCCTAAAGTGCAGAAGTAAGTGATTTTCTTTGTGTTTTGTTTTGTTTTTTTCAGTGTGCTGTGGAGTACCAAAGTGGCAACAAGGATTTTGGGATTTGCTGTGTACTAAGTTATCAAAAAAAGAAAGGAAGGGAGGAACGAAGGAAGGGAGGGAGGGAGGGAAGAGATAGAGAAAGAAGGAGAGAAAGAGAGAAGAATTTAAATAGTATATTTTACAGGTCCAAAAGGAGAAGGGTGTGTATTGGAGTACAGTAACACATGATCCCATGGTTAAAGAACAAACTGTATCCTCTGACAATGTGATAATTTGAAATTACATCCCTTCCACCTACTGGAAGTGATTAGATGGAAGGAAAGTAGAAGGAGTACATAAGGAAGAATGTGGCATTTTAGTAAGTAGGTCCTCTTTCCATCAGTACACTAATGCTGCTTTTTTTTTTTTGGTGGGGGGGCCAGGTACTGTTTAATGAGTGTTCGAGGCTGCTATACTGACTTTCACGTGGACTTTGGTGGTACCTCTGTGTGGTATCACATCCACCAAGGGGGAAAGGTATGGTCATGGTTGTGGTGAGGGTTGGAATCTGAAGTTACTTAATATGCCCTGGAAATGAAACTATTAGGAAATTGTACCCATTTGTATCTGGAGAGAATTATAGAATTGAGTTGACTTATAGGTCTAGTGTTAGTAGGAATTTTAGTATTTATCTAGCCCATTATCACTAAACCAAGATGGGCACCAAAATAGGCAATCTCAACAGTCTTGTTTCTAGATTCCCCAAGTGACTCCAAAAAGTTGACTTTAGAACATAATTTCTGTATTTGGAAATATAATAATGTAATAGGAGGGAACACACATTTTGCATAGATACACATTGAAATCAGCAAATTAAGATCCAAATCAACTTTCCCCATATGGAGGCATTGGTTAGAAATGTGGCCAAAGGAAATCTTTAGGTCTTTTCTGAGAATATAAATAGATTTTGAAAGAGTACCTTTATTCATAAAGAATTCCATTTCAGCTTCTTAGAATGTTTCTGAATGCTACATGAGAATGGACATCTAGAATTAATAGTAGAGGTTTATAGTTAGTCTTTCCTCCTACTACTACAAGTAAATGCATTTATAAGCAAAAGTAGAATTAGAATGAAAACAGATACTGCTTTAAGTGGAATCTTAAGTTTTGTCGTCTTGGTCTTGGTCACTACCTTGGAACAAAGCAACTCCAGGCCAGTCTCTTAAAGATACTGTACTTGAATACCTTTTACTTAGGTCTCTAAGGCCAGACAGCCACACGTTTATAAGGAACTGCTTAGTTAATAAGCCAAATGCCCTTTTTCTCTCAGAGTCCTGGATGGGTTCTAGGTTCTATAGTTATATTCCAGGGAAGTCCTGATGCTGTTTGGTTTCGTCAAGTGAATGACAAGAAAGATCTTCTTTGGGTCCTCAGAGTTTCCCAAATAATCAAGTTGTATAGGCTGGTGGAATTGCTTATCTGTCTTCTACTTGGTAGTCTTAATTTTGTACCTGTTTTAGTTGAGGGAAACGACTGGGTCATGTCAATGGCTGTTAACAGACTGAAGTTTTTTAACTCACAGGTCTTCTGGCTCATCCCCCCTACAGCCCACAACCTGGAGCTGTACGAGAATTGGCTGCTATCAGGGAAACAGGGAGACATCTTTCTGGGTGACCGGGTGTCAGATTGCCAACGCATTGAGCTCAAGCAGGGCTATACCTTCGTCATTCCCTCAGGTAAGCAAGATGGAGAAAAGTGAGTTGTTTATCTTAGCCACTTTATTTTTATAGAAAAGGAAACAGATGGATTATCACCAAGAATGATTATGCTGTTAAAGTGTGGAGCAAATAATGGTGTCCTTTCCTGTCATTATGGAGTTAGATGCTGAGAATATATATTAAGAAAAAAACTTTTAAAGACAGTGATTTAACACTAAAGGTATGTCAAAATTGCTACTGGAGACTTTTCAGAAGACCTACAGGTTTGAGCCCCACATTAGCCTCAGTAATTCAGAATCTCTTCAGAAATGAGCTGATCTGCAGGTGATATGTCACCTCTGGTGACGAACTGCCTAGTCTTCTAGGAATGGCTGTGAAGGCCAGAGTGGCACTAAATCAGCAATATTCTTGATCAAATCATTACTTCTAAAGTAAGTGCTTATAAAGAACACAGATTTTGAAGTCATAGTCCTGTTTGAGAATTCTAAGCATTTACCTGCTAGATACCATTTTGGTTAAATATTTCTTTTTCTTTTTTGAGATATTGGAGATTGGACCCAGGGCCTTCACACTGAATTACATGCTCAGCACTTTTTAAACATTTTATTTCAAGACACAGTTTCGCTAAGTGGGTCAGTTGCCCAGGGTGTGCTTGAACTTGCAATCTTGCCTCAGCCTCCTAGAGTACTGGGATTATAGGTGTGAGCTACCACACCTGGCTTATTTATTAAAAATTTCTTGGGGTGGGGATGTAGCTCAGTGGTAGAGCATTTGCCTAGCATGTGCAAGGCCCTGGGTTTGATGCCCAGCATGTGTATCTCTGTCCCCTTCTCCCCCCCCTCCCCC